GTGGTGCGCAATTCTGTCAGTCTTTCTTTTTCAATCTTGAAAAAAATAATCCCTTTAATATTGTTAGCACAGTAGTCAAACATTTTGTTACAATTCAATATCTGGTCATTTATGGGCCTTTGTAGACTTGCATTTGTAGTTAATCGTTTTACAGTGCCACCAATACCATCACATGATGACTTACCATGACTTGTAGCAAAAAATGTCAACTCTGCATTAATGTCAAAATCATTTTTATGGGGACAGATATTGCAAAAGTTTTTGTGGTTTTTATACTGTGCAGCACAACCATCAGAAAAATAATCTTTGAAATTTTAGGATGATATTCTTTTGAATAGTTAACTATTTGTGATTGAACTTCATACACAAAACCAGTGTCATGCTCATTATCTTCTGACATGAAGCAAAACGATTTTTCTTCAAGTTGGTCATTTTCGTTTAATAAATAGAGAGCAAAGGGGTGCAATGTGCATTGAGTTTTGCACCAATGGTAACTCAATGTGCATTGAGTTTTGCACCAATGGCAACAAATCCAATAACTTCTTGAGGATATCTAGATTTAAAAGAAACATAAAGTTCTTTAGAATTACATATTTGTTTTTTCTTTTTTTTTCTTTCTGTAAAAGCTGTATACTATAAAGATAAGCAAAACAAGTAAGCAATTACTGAAGTTAACTATTTACGACACTATTCCGTTTTTACTATTTATGACACTTTTTTGTTTTTACTATTTGCAACACTATTCCGTTTTTACTATTTGCGACACTATTCCGTTTTTACTATTTGTGACACTATTCCCTTTTTTTGTTTTCGACACAACTCATTAAATTTATTTGCAACACTATTCCTTTTTTTTTTTTGTGCAACATTAGACCTTTTTAATATACTCAAAACTATTCTGGAGTTCATTTTTGACACTTTTTTTGACACCCAACAAAAGCTAATTATCACATATGCTTTTAAAAAAACAACATCTTAACTATAAAAATATCCCTTTGCCTCAGTGTCAGTATTGCTTGGAGTCAGTAATGTTTTAAAACCAAAACTTTGTATCTTGATGTCATTATCTTTTACCATGACATAAAGAATATTTTTAGATCTTAAACATAGTGCGTTGTTTTTGTTTTGCATTACAATAAGTTTAATATCATTAAAAGGGAGACTAGGGAGACTATTTATTCGAGCAATAGTAAAAAAAATAATGCGCAGAGAGTCAGAAATTTGAAGATTTTTTTTTGAACCATGATGGAGCATAAACTTAAACAACAAAGTAGACAAGTTTTTTTAAAGACACATGCGCTTGTTTTCTCTAGTATTTAAACAGAAAAGGCGAATAGTTAAAATTAATTACCTTGCATGGTTGAGAGTCACTATCAAGTTTTTTAAAAAGAGCTCTTAAGGTAAAGTTTTCTCTTTAATAATTCTTCATATAATTCTACAGCAAGCCTTGTGAGTTTAATTAAGATGTACTTTATTGAGGAACTACTTGTTGGTTGCCATTCACTTTCATTTTAAAAAATGTTATGAAAAAAAAAGTTTTCTTTTTGATTTACAAAAAATATTCAATTCAGATAAAAAAATTAACCTCTTATGTTAGATGAACCGCTTATTTTTTCAGATGAATTTACATTTGGTATGAGGAACTCTGTTTTGTCAGCTACCACATCAGATAATTGTTGTCAATCTTTATCAAGCCTTGTGCTTTTCTTGACTAATAGCTAATATATCAATATACGAAAATTGATATGCACCCATTGGAACGATTAGTTTCCTCTGATCATGAAGATAAGTTCTGTCTTCAAGAGGTACTTTAGTATTTGGAGAGTATAGGCATTTAGTATGTTCTTCAATGCAATTTTCTTTATTAAAAGATAATTTTAATTATCTTTTAATAAAGAACTGAAGAAAATGATGTTTTAAAATTTTTAAACTTTTAAAATTTTCAAAATTTTTGAAAATTTTAAAAGTTTTAAAAGTTTTTTTTTAAGATTTGTATATATATAATTTAATAGAATATATAGAACTATTATGTTTATTATAGTTTTCATTTTTTATTGTACATTTAACAACACCAGTAATATGATATTTCATTAAATAAAAATTAATATTATTATTACTATTATTACAAATAAAATAATATCATATTTAATAATAACTTGATATAACTTATGTATCTTGATGTCATTATCTTTTACCATGACATAAAGAATATTTTTAGATCTTAAACATAGTGCGTTGTTTTTGTTTTGCATTACAATAAGTTTAATATCATTAAAAGGGAGACTAGGGAGACTATTTATTCGAGCAATAGTAAAAAAAATAATGCGCAGAGAGTCAGAAATTTGAAGATTTTTTTTTGAACCATGATGGAGCATAAACTTAACAGATAACAGTTTGCAGTCATAATGTTATTGCATATTAGTTATCATTAATGTAAATAAATACTTAATATTAGATTATTATTTTCAAATATTTTTAAAAAGGAATGTCAAAACAACTTTCATTTTATTTTTAGTTTCCTTTTATTTAAATTTCTTCAAGTTTATACATTTTTTTATAAGTAAATAAATTTAACAAACTAAAATGAGAAAAATTTACTATTTTGTATAATGGATAACAGTTTGCAGTCATAATGTTATTGCATATTAGTTATCATTAATGTGCATGCGCTTTGCAAATGCGTGAAAAATTGTTTTGAATTCATAAAAAATTGATAAAATTCAATAAGCATATTTGATATATTTAATAATTATATATCTTATTAACTAGAATAAAATTTATTTGAAAATAAAACTCCCTTATAATTTAATAAAAAATTAATATTTAAAAATATTTATTTATTATAATTTTAAAAAAAATTAATATTTAAAAAAATTTAATAAAAAAATATTTGAATAAAACAAAATAAAAATTAAAAGAATTAAAAATAAAACTGGCATATTAATAGCCGACGACACAGGTTTTGAAGTGGAGGTGCACAACCACCTATTTCTAAAAACAAGTCCTCTATATCTAAAATTTCTCTTTTTTTTTAATATATATATATATATATATATATATATATATATATATATATATATATATATATATATATATATATATATATATATATATATATATATATATATATATTGTAAAAAACCAAGATTTAAGTTTCCAAGTACAATTATATACTGTTTATTAAATTAAAAATATATAGTGTTGCACTTTCACTTACCTTATGACAAAAAGGTTTAACGTATGCTTTATAAACATTTTTTGATGCAGTCTTATAACATGTTTACAAGGAAATTACCTAACTTTTTTAATCCAAATTTTTTCTAAATTATAAGGAAATTTCTGTTTTTCATATTTTGATATTGCACAACCGGTTAATTATATAAAGCTGATGTAACTATTGTAAAATATTATTTTTCTTATAAATATAAACGAAGACATTGCAATAGTTATATTGCTTCAAGCGTAAATACTAGTAATAATAAATTAAATAAAAAATTTCCTCTATAGATATAACTCTGTTAATAATTTTTCAATACAATTCTTGATAACAAGGGTTATTAAAATACCATTGAAATATTATTAAATTAATGATAGAGTTATATCCATAGAAGTTTTTTATTTAATGATAAAAAAATAAACTCTTTATAAGATTTCATTTAAAGTTTGTAATAATTAATGTTTTTACGTTTTTTTGATCATAATAACAAAACAAAACAAAAAATTTAAAAATCAAAAGTAGCATTAATATAAAATAAAATTTAACAAGTATTTATTTTTTGACTAATATTTTTTTGTTTTGATTTTAATTTTTTTTTTTTTTTAATTTGGTAATTATTTTTCTTATTATTTATTATAAGATATTGTCAAAAAAAATATTCTTGCACTTGCAAGATGATAAAAAAAAGTTTTATAATTAAACTTCTTTTATGATTTCTTTTTTTTAAGCATTTATATATTTTTTTTTTTGCTGAATAATTTTGATAGAAAAATTAGGTTAATAAAAAAAAATTCTTTATTTTTTCTTAACTTATTATATTTGTAAACTGCGCTAATATTAGATGTAATTGTCATTCAAACTTTTTTACATAATCATCATTCAAACTTTATAAGGTTTTAATAAAGTTAATTCTTTTATCTTACAGCTTAAATGATATCTCTAGGCTTGTTTAAATGTTAAAAATTGATAAGAAGTGGGTTGACTGAAATGGATTACTACTTATGTTAAACAGTCCAATGCTAAAGTTAAATGGCGAGCCACTTTATAAATTAAAACAAGGCCTATATACATGCACCATTTTATAATAATGCTTTCAATTCTTGTGGATTCAAAAATAAAATAGATTTCATTCCCTCAATAACCAAAAATTTAATACAAAATCTTGAATAAGAAACATCTGGTTTAACCCCCCTTATTCACTCAACATTAAAACAAAGCAAAAACATTTGAGCACGATTGATAAATGTTTTTCTAAAGACCACAAATGTCATACACTTTTTAACCGGAAAAACTTAAAGATTAGTTATAGCTCCCTACCAAATGTCAAGAGTATTATTATTTCTCATAATAAAAATATATTATTTAATTCTCATGAAAATACCAATTAATTATGCAATTGCCAACAAACTATCTTATGCCCATTTAATGAGAAATGCCTAACAAAAAAACCTTTTTTATATTTTCAACATAAAAATTACCAAGAAGAAGAAGGGTATTATTACATTGGGCTAACTGAGAAAACTTTCAAAGACAGGTTGTATAAACAAAATAACTCTTTTGTTTATTACTTTTCAGTTTTCTTTTAATGTCAAACATCAAAAAAACTTTTGAACAACCTTTATAGGTTGTTATATATGTATGCACACACACTGATATATAAATATATATATATATATATATATATATATATATATATATATATATATATATATATATATATATATATCTGTGTGTGTGTGTGTGTGTGTGTGTGTGTGTGTGTGTATAATCATATAAACAATACCTGAAAACGTCCATAACTAAAATAGATCAAAGAAAATGGAATGACTACACCAGCGATTGCATGTGTTGATGGCATACCATACTCACTTTCATATATTTTTTCAAGACGTATTACAGGAGGTGATTCAGGTCGAGGCCAACAAAGTATATCCTTTATTCCTTGACCAGCATACATACAGAATACCCATAATAATATTAATCTTCTGCATATATATTCATCAATATTCCACGATACAAATGGTAAGAATGTAATATAGAAAGCTTCATTTCCTAATTCAGACCCGATTTGAAACAATTTATGCACAAAAGGATTGTAATCATAAGCATCTTCATCGGATGTTTTAGATGATATCAATTTTTTCTCTTTATTGTCACGGTTTTCTAAATTTAAAGTATCGTTTATATTAGACTTTCTAGCTAAACCACAATACTTCTGAAACCAAACTACTTGATCAATACTTCCCATCTGGTTTACTATTTGAAGTGAAGAAGCTAAATAGATTCTAGAATAAAGATCATAAGTTATAATAAAATAAAAAGAAAGAAAGAGAGCTGACAATCGTAGGTGCAGTATTTGAATGGCAAGGTGATTACCGTGGTGATAGAATAAACGTCATTTTGAAGCCGTAAAAAAAAAAATTATTTTATAAATTTTTTACGGGAAAGTTTTTTCTACAGCTATTTTAATTACCAATTCTCATGCAAGTCTTTCAAAAAAAATAGTCATTTTCATTCAACTACGGACGATTTAAATAAAGATTTAAATCAAAAGATTTTTTCGGATGACTAATGATTTAAATCAAGTTTTTCTTTTATGTTTGATTTTTGAATCACGAAAATTTATTTAAAAACTATTTTGTCATATTTCAAAACAAAACTAATTAAGTCGGTCTAAAACTATTCTTTCAATTCATTTTAAAAAATGGAGAGATTCTGGTTTTTCTAAAGAGTTAAACTCGGTATCATTTAACCGTTACCAAATGGCTCGTAAAAACTTTCGTAAAGCCGTCAAGTCGGCTCAAAATAATAAAATTTGCGCACAATATATTAAAATTGAAAAGTTAAAAAATACTAAACCAAAAAACTTTTGGAATGCTTTTAGATGTTTAAACAAAGACATAAATTCTAGATTATTTACCATAAATAATAAAAAAGACAAAGTATCCATTACTTCAGAATTCGCAAACCACTTCGAAAGAGTACTGAATACTCCAAAAATAACACATCGTAAAGAAAATCAGAGAATTTTCCCGTGTACAAAACATGATGATGTAACAATAACTGAAGACAATATAATCGGGGCTATTTCAAATTTAAAATTAAAAAAATCTCCTGACTCTTTCGGTATCTCAGCAGAACATTTTAAATACGCAAAGTGCGATACTTTAACAAAATGGCTCATCAAATTTTTTAATTACTCCATTAATTATGGATCGACTCCAATATCAATGTCGACGTCAACTATTGTACCCCTTGTTAAACCGTACAAAAACTCTTTAGATAGCTCGAGCAACTATCGTGGTATTAGTATTATATCAATTTTTACAAAGGTTCTAGAATACCTGATCTTAATTATATGTCCGGATATTAGAGATCACTCCCTACAATTTGGATTCAATGCTAACTCTTCAACGCTACATGCTGAATTTCTAATAAGCGAAACAATTAAACATTACAACAGCAACCATTCCCCTGTGTATCTATGTTCTTTAGATGCAGAAAAAGCTTTTGATAGCTGTAACTGGAATATTCTATTTGAAAAATTATATTTCGATAAAAAATTACCACTATGTATAGTTAACACTATCTCCTCGTTGTATAACAATAGTAGCGCAACAGTCTCATATCAAGGTTGTAAATCAAACTCTTTTCCTCTAAACCAAGGAGTAAGACAAGGATCAATTCTTTCGCCTCACCTCTATAATATTTACACTGAAAGTCTTCTCGAAACTATTAAAAATCAGGGAATTGTTGGCACATCTATAAACGGTAACTTTACTGGTGTGGTAGCCTATGCGGATGATATAATACTTTTAAGCTCTACCTTATCTGGTCTCAAAAAGCTTATAAAAACATGCAATATTTGCAGTAATCTAAATTGTATTAAACTGAATGCCGAAAAGACTGAGTTCTTGATCTCAGGTAAAGCCCAAATACAAACTAATACAATAACAATTTCTTGTAATAAAAAAATCTTCAGAATAAACTTAGACATCTGGGATTCACATGGGATACTAAACATTCAGTTTTTGCTTCACTCGGTTATTCAAATGTTGATGAAAAAATATCAAACTTTAGAGCTGTTGTTCAAACTCTTATTCAATCTGGAATCCGGTTTGCCCACCCCAGTTCTATTTCCTATATATATAAATCATTGGCAGTCCCCACCTTAACTTATGGTATGGAGCTATGTGAAAATAATCCTGGTCTGATGAAAAAGCTAGATATAATTGGAAGGAGTGCGCTAAAATCGTTTTTAAATGTTTCGAAACATAGTAAAAACTATATGAATTCGTTATTTAAAATCCAGGAAATTTCAAAAAGTGTTTAACAAAATAACTTAAACTTGTTCCTTCGACTTCTTAATAACAAAACAACTGCAGACATTATCTTTTCACAACTGCAACACCCGTTATTTCAACATTCGTTTGTTAGTGATATTCAGGAACTATGCCGTCTTCAGATATTAAATTTTCATAACCTAATTCAAAATAAAAAGAAGGTAAAAATACCACTTTCTAAAAGTAACATTCCTTCCGAAGTTGAACGAAACTTGAAGTATGCAATAGAGTGCTGGAATGCAAAAGAGCAAAGAGGAGTTTTCAAGCAAACTCTGGAAGAAAACGTTTTTAAGCAAAGTCATCCGAAATAACTTTCTTATTTTTTTCTTTTTACCTTGTAAATTGGGTGTTAAATAAATAAAATAATAATAAATGTAGCGGAACTATCTATTTATAGAACTTTTAATGTTATCGCGGTGTGATCTCTACCATTGAACAAACAATAATTCTGTTAAAAACTTAAATCTAAATTCAAATTCCAGGATTGGGTATGACTTTCCTCTAAATTTTATATCTGTGGGAATAATATGTGGATATTGTAGATCGGCATATTCCATAGTAGTATTTTTTTCAATTTCATTCAACATTCTAACTTAAGGGTGAAGAAGATTAACCAAAAAATGGGATGGTGTCACTGCCATATGTAAAAAAGAGAAACCGTCACAAAGCTTTTAGGAATAATTCTTGATGAAAATATTACCTGGAAAACTCATATTGACTACATTAGCAATAAAGTTGCTAAGAGTATTGGCATCCTATTTAAGATCAGATTTTATTTAGATAAAAAGAGTTTAATGCAACTCTACTACTCCTTTATACATAATTATATTAACTATGCCAATGTTGCTTGGGGAAGCACAAGCAAAAGTAAATTGCAACTTCTTTGTCGTCGTCAGAAACACGCTATGTCACAGTGGGCCAGAATTCACTTTTACTGGACAAAATTCATAACTAATTTAATATTAGGGCTATAATCACTAAAATTAGCACGAGTACTTATATGATGTCTGCCCTTTTTATGAAGGTATTTCGTTGCTATGGATACCTTTATTTTGCTTAGCAACAACCTATTTTTGAGATTTCCCAAAAATATTTCAGATATTTTACGAGTGCTATATTCACTAAATTTGGCATGAATACTAATACGATGTGTGCATTTTTTATGAAGGTGCTATTTTTTTATTTTGTTGCTATGGATAATTATATTGCTTAGTTACAATGGGGTAAACAAAATGTCGTTATAACATCGTTAATTTGTAGCAATAAAAATATAGTAAACAGATAAGCAAAAAAAATGAAAACAGAAACACAATTCAAGTAACATTGCAGTAAAAATGTAATAATATAATATATTTACACAAAATCTTTAAGTGGTACTTCTTTTAGTAGCTCTAGCAATCCATCTGGAAAGTCTTTCTTCTTTGGATGATGTGGTGTTCTCAAATTAATAATAACTGGATCAGATGAACACATCAATCTCCTTAACAAGTCTTCGTTTGTTTTAGAACGGGAGCACTTTCTTGAAAAAGACTCCCGGAACTTCTTGAAGTCCTTGTTACGTGCTTCTTGTGCCTCTTCACTGAGCATGCCAGTTGGCAAAGCCATTCGATCCACAACTTGCCAATCATGAATAAGAATTCGGTGCAGGCTCTGTGGCATGTGGTATCATGGATACTGGTTCACATATCGTTCAGCTGTTTGCATGCAGAAGTCTCTAAATCGAGAAGAATCAATAACATTATTTTGAGAAGGTATTCCATAGTTCTGATCCATGCATGGAGAGTTGAAAGCCCATAATTGAGTCCAGTTTTAGTAATTGGGAGATTTTTTGCAGTATTTAAGTCATTCATTTTTTTTGGATTGCAACCACAAACTGAGCAGCATTGCGATGATTTTGTTGCTGTGGATAGTGCTGTGGCAACTTTCCCATCCACCATTGTAATTTCAATTTTGTGCAGAACTGTTAATTTGTCATACTTTGTAGTAAATAATTTTTCCATTGAGTTGTAAAGGAATTGTTCTTCTTCTTTTAATACATCTGATGTTTCTTTTTTATAGGAGAATCTTATTGGTCTGCAAAATAAAGTGGATGATGGATGAGGGTTGGACCAAATAATCTTCTTTTCGCCATTACAATATCCAGATAACTGCAAAGGCACAAAGCAAGTAAGGAATAAACTGGCTTCATTTGTAATATTTCTGTTTTCTTCTGTTGTTATTTGAGTATAAAGGCTTTGCCATCAAAGCCAACTTTGGATCTTAGGGTCATTCGTTGAAGATCTTCTAAGGAGTTAATAACTTCTGCCTGACATTCTATTAAACGTAGTCCTGTATGATTGACCAATGCTTGCATGTTGACCTCTACAGAATAGTCAGTGACAGTCTATAGGTTATTCTCTGGAAGACAAAGTACTTTTGCTTCCCGTACATTATTATAAGCTGGATATAAATTACAGCCTTTTCTTGCAGCATTGTTCCTTGGGCGCTGATAATCAGACTTACTCAGATTATTATCTAAGATAAGTGCTAAGACTTCATTGGGAGTATTTTGAACATGTTCATCAGTTTGAGTTTTTGATAAATTTCTAACTACCTTAGCATGCTTTCTCCTTCCTGTTTCCAAAGTTTGCAACTGCTAGCAAACAACAGCTCGTTTGAAGAACTTGCCAATGATTCAAGTTTTGACACTTTCCTCTTTTTAGATTTATCAGATAATTCTTCAAATGATTTACAAGGCCTGCCAAGAGATAATTTAGGTGTAGTTTCTGTATTGCATAAAGAAAAGATTTATTGGGGACTAATAAAGTTTTTGCAAAGCCAGGCTAAATTTTTATCCAAAAATATATCATTGTAACGTCCACTTGCAGCCCATTGCTTTCTGTATTCAAAAGTAAATTTTGAAAATTGAACCTTACATTTAGAATTGCCAAGTTGTTCACTAATAAAATTAAATCTACCAGCTTATCTTTTTCATTTGATAATGATAATTTGTTTTCTCTTATAAATAAATGGATTTGGTTTCTATTAATGCTTGACATAATAAAAATA